GCGGGAAGTTCCTTTTCTCTTTGTGTGACAGGAAATGGAGCCCTCTTTGGTTTTAGTTTCCCTCTGGATAATGTGACCACCATACAGACACAACTGATTTTGCCATGGATCAAGGGATTACTCTGTTTATTTCTGCAGGTAACTTTTTGGCGTACATCTTCCTTATTGCTTGTTAGGAAGACTTTGCTTACTGTGGGTGGACACTTTGGTAAGAAAACAGTGAAAGAAGAAGCCGGAAGACAGTTTGCCTTCTTTTGCTATCTTGCATCAGGGCCAACTGCTGCATAACACACCCAGAAGTCATATTTGTCGCTGTTGCTAGGCCATCGTGCTGCTCCTCACCTACTTCAGCAGCCTCCTGAATCCCACGCATTGCAGAAGTTGCTGTTGTCACTTCTATGCCCCACGCAAGACAGCAAAGAGGTGAGAGGTTTTGTATTATTTGCTATTTTGGGCTGAAAATCCTGCACTTGTCTGCCAGGTTTAGATTTTTCCACCTCCAGACCTTTGTAGACTTTTTTATTATTCCGGATTCCCATTGACAAAAAATAATCCCATGGTCACTCCTGGACTAGTGGAAGAAGATAATGGCAAGGACAGATTTAAGCTGACAACCTTCACCCTGGAGTCCTGCAGGACTCAAGGGCAAAACAGACAAAATAGAGACTTCGAGGCGTGCACGATACCACCTGCTCTTGAGTTTGCCCCTACACAAGGGATGCACAAAGTGGGCTTATTGGCTCTTAATTTTCTAAAAGGCCTCAGGGGAACCCCAGAAAACTGCAAACCAGTAATGCTGACATCCCTACCACACAATTCCCAGACAGATTGGGCCCATGGATAAATGTGGTGCAAAAGAAAATAATAAATATGGCATTTGTGACAGGATATACCACACTTTTTTGTTACACAAAAGTTTACTGAAGAGTCAATGAATACAGACAAGGGGGAGCCAAAACACTACCATGTCTTTGAAGCTTCAAAAGAGTCTCTGATGAGTCTCACTGTAAAGCTACAAAAGAAGTTAAGCTATTACATTATCAGGAATTCCTCACATAAACATGCAACTGGTTAAAATATAAGAAAAAAAGAGCAGTTAATAGTTTTTGCAGTTAAGTGGGTTCAGTCATGAAAGGGCTTGCCTGTGGCCTGTGCCATTGGTCAGGTATTGGAATAGGCTACACAGGATGGTGGGATCACCATCCTTGGAACCTTTCCAAAGGCGTGTGGCACTTGGGGATATGGTTTAGGAGTGGTGATGGGTTAACATGTCTTTTCAGTGATTTAAAATTTAGACATCAGCAATTTGAGAAAAAGGGAAAGCTATGAAATAATTAAGGTTGCTGAAGTACTAAGTTAATATTATTCATATTCACAATAAAGTTTGCTGATATTATATATGAGCTATTAATATTCATAACTAAGTTTACTGATGTACTAAGTTATGCAGGATACAGAGAAGAGATCCAGCTGCAAAGAACTATTTAAGGACTTCAAAATATAGACTGACAAGGTGATAAAATGGCAGATTAAAATCAGTACTGATAATATGGAGGAATAGAGAGGAAGGACAGAATCAATTTGCTGCACAAGTGATGCGTAAAACACAGTGACATGCTCAGACAATTCTGTCTTTCCTCTTGAATTTTCCCCTTTCTAGTTTTAACTACTAAGTAGGAGATAATATCTTTTCACTTCCTAGTATGTGCATTTATTAACCCTCTCAGATTGTGTAGCTGGAAAATATTGTACTGACCTTCAGTAAAAAATGTCCAAAGCCTCTGCTATGTTTTTCCTTGTAAATATTTATGGTAGCCATTAAAATTCTTTTCACACTTAAATTTAGCTTAGCTGCAAGTGCCTTCCTCACTTGGATATAGTGAGGAATGGCACACAAAATGAGATCCAGGACCCTGGTGAAAGTGAGAGAAGAGATGACAAGTTTTCATGTTACAAGTGATTTGCCTAATTTGTATGGTGTACAACTGTATATCATACAGAAAAGGTGTGGGATGGGAGGGAAGGGGAGGGCAAGGGATGGAGAAGGGATAGAATGGGGTGGGGTGGGATGGGATGGGATGGGGAGGAGGGAGGGGATGGGGATGGGATGGGAAAGGGACAGGATAGGATGGGGAGGCAAGGGGAGGATGGGAGGGGAGGGAAGGGGAGGGGAAGCAAGGAGAGGGGAGGGGATGGAAAAATGTGGTCTTGTGGAGGTTGATTTTTATGATATTCTTCTCTAGCACTGTTATCACAGTAATGGGGCAAAGTGAGAAATGTTCAGCAATTAAGCACCCTGTAGAAATAGGTTGCACAGAGTAAAGAGAAGTCAGGTCAATATAAGAAACTAATTATTTAGATTTCTTTGAATGATTGGTTGACTGGGGCAGCACTGGTGAATCTGCAGTCTGGTGTCAGGTTTAGCACGAAAGGTTTAAAGATGCTTACAAAAAATTTCAGTTGGAAATAAGGATTCTTTGGAGGAAAAGAAGAAAATATCCAACCAATCAACTAAACAAACAAAAAAAACCCCAAAACAAAAAACTACTGAAATGAGAGTGTACAAACACATTTTGTCAGCAGTGCCAGCTGCCAGTCCACCTCTGCACTGCTCATTCCTTCCCTACTTCTCTGCTACCAAGCACTAGCATGAGAGGAAGCTGGGAAATTGTGTGACTGAGCAATAAATTCCCCCCCAAAACAGTTGTTGTTTTGAGCCAGATTTAATGTGGTAACATCAGGAATGCATGGGACAGCAGAGCACAGAAAATGGCACAAGCTTGGGTACAAACAGTTGAGGCAGGATGGATGGGAAATGTTATTTTTATTTCTTCTGGATGTATAGCAATTACCTTACTTGTTCTTCCATGGACCCCTTTGGCAAGGTGTAGAAGAGCTGTAGACTTTTCATTTTATAGCCTAATAAAGTAGTTCCTAACCAGTTCTGGCTTTAAATTTAAAAAATAGAGGATTAATTTACTTAGGAGTAAACCTGTTAGGTTTTTCATTTTTCTCCTTTCCCTTCCCTTCCCTTCCCTGCCCTGCCCTGCCCTTCCCTTCCCTTCCCTTCCCTGCCCTGCCCTGCCCTGCCCTGCCCTGCCCTGCCCTCCCCTTCCCTTCCCAAACCTTCCCTTTCCCTTTCTCTTTCTTGTTTTTCTTTCACTTCTTCTTCATTTTCTTTCTTTTCTTTTCATATTTTTTTATATTTTTTTTCAACAGAATTTGCTACGGCTGGCTGTGTGTCCCCAGAGGACAGTTAGTCTCTTAATACCTCATGAAAGAGCATGAGCACAGAAGGACACCTTGCTTATGTTAAATGCTTACTGAGGCTTCTCATGGTTAGTCCCGGAACAGGAGAAATCCCACAGAGTTATTTCACTTGCATCTCACATGCATGTCTGTGATGAACATGAACAAGAACAGCTGTTTCCTTCAAAACCAGTTCAAGTCTCCAGGGTTACTGAGTCACTTTGTTACAACTGTCAAATGAGAATATGAATGAAGGTATCTTACAACAAGGGAGACAGCTGGGCCCATGGGAGTAAGAAGGGCTGCAACAATTACAACTAAACTTGTTGGACTTACTAAACTTGAGCTTGATAGGGTGCTATTTATGGAATTTGCTGATTCAAGTTCAGGAGGTAGTTGGAAGTCTCATGTTGGCAGGAATGTCAAGGAAAATCTGCCCCATTCTCAGTCAGCCCAGCCAGTCAGCCCCAGATAATTTGCCTGGTAAATCCCTGACGACCTGAGAATTTGGAAGCCTAAACCCAAGCCTGTGAGAGTGGTCAAAGACCAAGCAGCCCCAGCTTGTACCACTCTCAAGGAGCCCGATATACGAGCTGATCTCAGTCTAGGCTCCACACCTTTGACTTGCAGAGAAATTTGGAAGTGTCTTTATTTTACATCAGAGTAGCAACAAATTTCAAATGATCAATGCCTTCTTATAAGCAAAATTATGTTTCCTTATCCAGATACAAGTAAAACTTGGGAATTTGAGACCCTTCTGCCAGATTTCTTTAAAAACATTATCCATTCCCGAATCTTGGACAGGCAGGAGGAAACAAAATGTGCTTTATATATCTGGGCAGGACCATCTTTTGTGACAATGTAGAGCAAGATTAGCATTTTACTTTTCACAGAGATTATGGTGAACAAACATGCAAGCACACTTTAATTATTTATTTATATATATATGTATTTATTCTTTCATTATTTAAAATCCAAATTTCAAGAAGTTTCTATTGAGAAATCCAAAGTTTTTAATAATACTCCAGTACAAAAATATAGTCCTTAGGATAAAAACTTCCATACTACTACCTCCAAATAAATAAAATTACATCAGACACATTTAAATTATTCAGTATAAAAAAACCCCAGCAATTTTTTTAATCTGAGAGTTGAAGTTAAATCAGTGCGGTACAGTTAGTCACAATCCCTTGCGGTGTTAAGTAGACTGGCGTCCTGGTAACTTCAGTGCATAACAATAGTAAATACCAGCAATTAACCATCAATACTCTCCTTCAGAAACATGGGTCAGCATTTGTTTATCTTTAAACATGTTATTTGCTTGATTTAGATTTAGACATGTTTAGCAGTAAGCAGACATGAAGCAGACATGTTTTTCTGAGTACAGTAACTTCCCCCTATTGGTGCTTGTATCTGCATGCCAAATAGACGAATGATAAGACTAATCTTGTAACAACCCTCTCTAAAGACAGCACCAGATGGAAAGCTGGGTACCGTATCATGTCATTTCAAGATTTCCATATGGAAACTGGGTAAATATTGTCTCATTCTGTATTTTCAGGTCAACGAACATACAACAAATAGACAGAATTTTAAGACAAAGTTATTTCTTACATAGTAGTAGGGCATATAAATACTCTGATCAGTATTCCTTTATAAATAATTATTTAAAATACTTAAATATTAATAAATAAATGTATAAAAATTCAATAGAAACCTTAAAATAAAAAAGGTGTGTCACAAAAAGATTTGCACAGTAACTCAGTATAAAAGAACATAAGATGGCATTAGCATTTGCACTGCCTCTGAACCAGCCTTCTTTTTCTTTTGGAAGAACTTGTAGTATCCCCCAGTTTTTGTAAGACACTGAACAGCTCATTCACAGCTTTACGTTGAATTTTCAAGTCATTCACCTGTTAAAAGTAAAAAACAAATGGAACAAAAGTTATATCAAGAGCTATAATCATTTACTGATCACATCCCACAGGCTACCCTGCTACCAGAGAAAAACCGATGGACATCTGCAGTTTTCAATTACTCTTCTACCTAATTCCTACAGCAAAGAGCCACTTTGTCACAGATTTTTGTTTTTCACTTTCTGTGCTACCAGCCATATTCTGTGAAACAGAGCTACTCTGTAGTTACAAGCAGCTAACTCCACTGGGGTATTGCCTGCAGACCTCTGCAGAGGTCAGTGGTTTGTGCCATTGGCACTCGCTCAATTTCTAAACCACAAAGGCTCTGTCAATGTCAGCTCTGGCGTGCAGACTGAGTGGAGGTGCTGTCAGCACCTTTGTGCCAAACTCCAGCAAGACTCAGGGGTCTACCCCACACCGTAGACGTGCAGCAGCCCCTGCAGCTGGAAACATTAGGTTTCCCAGTGTGAAGTGAGCTAGACAAGCGTTACCATATGGGTTGCTGAAGCACTATTGGCTTGAATCACACTCAAATCACAACTGGAAAATATAACGTGATGAGCCTTGGAGGCAAAGGAAGAGCCTTACCTGAAGCTCTGTCAGGTTCTTGAGATATTCCATCTTCTTTGAGTCATCAGAAAGGCTTTGTTTCAAAGTGTAGAGCTCCTCAGATATGTTCCTGACATGTGCCTTTGACTGGTCAGTGTTGTTAAGGATTTTCAAGTACATGGAAACAATCTGACTCAGGATGATCCTTTTTTCATTTCTCTGTTGAAAAATACAATCAGAAGGAAAGGTCTGTGAGTGCTCATCAGCAGGAAAATGAATGAAGATCAAACATAGCATGCAGGGGTTCTCACTGCCACTTGAAACAAAATGATAAAGAAGAAGTTGTAAATCACCCCCTGGGCTTGTCTGTATCTCAGATCATTTCATGGTGCAGTACAAAGCACCTTGACCCTTACGGGAAGCATTTTTATGGGGATTTTTTTCTCATTTCCAAATTACCAAAGGGAACTCTGCTCATGCTCATTCTACCGCAGCTAATTACACTGGTTCTAGGAGCTGCTTTGTACCAAAAGAACCCTGCAAAGCGCCTAAGATGCTTTTTCATATCTGTTTCTGACTCACTTCTGTCCAGTTTGACAATCTCCCTGTAAAGATAGGTCCACCATCACCTACATCTGAACGGCTTGAGTTCTGCAACAAAGAACAAACATATCTGTTATACAAACAGTACTTATCACTAGGCAAATTTCTGTTCTCTAATCAAATAAGCGGTGAAATCCAGATTTTTGTACCACTGGCCTATAGCTAGCACAATGCTTTCACTTCTCTAAGCACCAAATCCCATTGCATGGCTGTCTAGTATCAGAAACGGCATTAGTCTGCTTTTCAATGTTTCTCCTGCTATAGCTCACCTAAATAGAGATGTTGAACACATCTGTTTTCCCAAATGCTTTTGCTATCGACAGATGAAAATAAAAACTCATAAACACAGCAACTGGCTAGAAAATCATTAGGCCTGAACTTGGCATGTCTTCTGATAAGTCAAAGTCCAGCAGTATGTAGTCATCTGTGGCCTTAAATTCATCCAGTCTTAGTAAAATCTCATATGAAAAAAGAACAAACTAATTTTGCTACAAAACTATAGCTTATAGGACTGGTGAATAGCCCAGTAGCCCACAATCAGGCATGAGTATATGCAAGATTAGTGGGCTACTGAGAAGCTCATAGGGACAGCGTTTAACCATCCCATGTTAGCCACACGCTGTCAGATTCCAGGAAACAAAGAGCAATACAATTCTCCTACCAAGGAAAGGCAAATTGAATCACTTCCTCTTCTGCATCTTTTCTTTTTTTTTTCTTTTTGTATACAACAGTGACTATTTCCTTCTTTTATCTGCTTAGTAATTTAAATACAGTGAGTGCAAAGGGAAAACTTGCAGGCTGACAGAAACCTTCTAGCCTGATTGGCTCCCCATGCTGACCACACTGCCAAACTTCGTTTTGTTCTTCTGAAAGGTGGCGAGAACCTGCTGTGAACCAGAGTTTTAATGTCAGTGCAAAAACCTCACCACAGCTCAGGATGTCTTCAACAGAGTTATATATATCCTAGTGAGACTCTCTCTGGTCTATGCTAATAACAAATTTAAGATATTATAAATTTTACATCCACTTTCTGACCAATCTGCAAACACTGAAGTATCACGCTAGTCTTCACCACTTCAGAGTGGTTCTTTGACTACTGAATTTCAACTGTCGTTTGCACAAAATTATGACAAAATCATAGATGAAAATAGCAGCAGACTGTTGCAGTTGTTTCGTGCATTTAAGGAAAAAACCCAACAAAAATATATGGAGAATAAAAGCTGTTAATTAGAAGTAACTCATAGATCTGCTATCTCTATGACTAATGCCAGCTGAATTCAACTGTGAACTACTTTAATGCCTCCTAGATGAAGGCTGGTGAATTAACATTACAGTTATCAAGTTACCAAAACTCTACCTGAAAAGAAAGAATATCATGCCAGATTACATTCCTATGCCAGATCATAGTCACAGATGTGGAATTGGAATGACTGGAAGATGCAAAAGAATAAGAAGTAGGAACCACCTTTGGGCAATACACTACTGCTACTAATAATAAGTAACAAAAGTGCATTTGTTAAAGCAAAAGTTCATCTCCATTTTTTTTATATTGCTAACTAATACTAAACTCCCCAATAACATTGCTAACATAAAATTTAAAGTCAGTAAATTACATCTAGTCTGAATTAAAGAAATATTCATACATTCTCCAAACATTGCATTAAGATTTCTTGTTATAAAATATTCCATATAATCAATGATTACCCTCTATTGGGACATACTGAGTATGTCAAGCAGTGCTCAAGTTTAGATGATATATAAAGCACAAGCAGAAGGAGAAGAGAAATGCAGTGGAAAACTATACTTACAAAATCAGCTTTCAGTTTGTCTATATCATCTTGAAGTTGAAGCAGATTTAATCTATTTTCAACACGTCCAGAATAAATCATGATGATAGAGAGAACAAACAAGCTGTAGGTTTGGAAAGTCATTTTCTTGGTGATGGTTCAGTTAAATGGCTCAGATAAGTTCTGGGAGATGTCAGTTCTAAGAGCAGTGTACTTCAACTTCTAATAGGTTAAGCCTTCTATTAGAAGAAAGTAGACGAATGAACTTCATCTGCCTGTCAGTGGTATTTATACCTGGTCTTGAAATTTTTTTATTTCGTCATCACAGGCTGTGTATATTTAGACAAGATAGTGTTAGATAAGAACCCTTCATTTTTGGCTGAACAAGGGAATCCCTCGAAAGCATCTTTGTAAAAGCATGGTCCTGGAAAAAATTTCAGTGGTTCGTCAATGGGTAACATTTACGTGGCAGATTCTGAAGTTTCTTTTACACGTGGTTGGGGAAAGGGGGGAAATTATGGTACTGATAGAGTAGTATGCATTGTGGCTCAAGCATATTCATACATGCTAGCTGAAAAAAAAAAAATCATATGTTGTGGTTAAAGGGTCAGTATAACAGTCAACTCATTTCTGGTATTCTTTTAAAGTAATCACTGAGATTGCCATGGCATTCTTCAGAGTCACTTAGAGATTTAAACATTCTTCCTACTGCTGTCCTTTTGGAAACACTGTTTGTATTCTTTCCATGGTCTAAAATGTATTTCTGCTGCTTTCTCATTCTTTACCTCCAGGTTCAAAACAAACTCAGGGGAAATGAAGTTCTAGCATGGATGAAATTATGTATCATATTAAATTCCTCTATGGTTGTCCACTCTGGGAGAATATTTAGTACTTAAGACATTAATTTCTGCTTGGCAATAATAAAGTTCCCCATCTTCCCATTCATTTGCACTAATGTGTGTAGGATATGAAAGACATGGAAGAAATAAGCCCAGGTGAAGAAGACAGACAGGATAATCTCCTCGTGCATACAGAACCCTGAAACAACTGTATTAATGATAGCTGAGGAAAATGTTTTTATATGTTTAAATGCTACTTTGATGGATACAATCAGATAAGAGCTTACTCTGAAGAGTCTTATGAACAAATCAGATAATTTTAGGGTGTAGTATATTAATGCAGGGTAGGCAGGAGCATAAAAGGGAAAGAAAGAAGGAACCTACAGGGAAAAAGAAAAAAAGTAGACCAGGAAGAGGGCACTTGCAGGCTCAGTTCACAGAGGTGAAATGAAAGATATCTGTAGTTCGTAAGAAACAGATGAGAATTAAACTGGCCCCCAACAGATATATTTGAACTCTTCAGCACAGCTCTACATGGCTCTTAGGTATTCCTTGCAAGAAGCTCTCCTGTTCCCCAGTAACTCCTCCTATTTCAGCAAATGACCACTAATGCCATTAAATGTTTTTCATCTGCAGTTTGAAAGAGGACTTCCATCTGTGGAAGAGATCTAGGCTACTAGAACCATTGCAAACAGGGAATTGCCATTTTACAGGGACAAGAAGCAAATTTCACCAACAATCGCAGGCCCAAAAGCTGAATGCTACATCTCTCTGGGAACAGCAGCATAGACAGATGGGACATATCTCACAACAGGTACAGTGGTACTGCACAACAATACTGTAATCTGCTTGGGATAGTAGCACTATGCAACACACATCTTGTTTTAGTTTAAGAAGTTAAAACTGATTAAGCAATAACCTGATTGCTGGAAGTGTTGACATGAAGGTAAGGTGATAATTCAAGGATGCTTCAAAGATCTGTAAATAAATGCAAAGTTAACATGCCCACCCATGGCAGAGGGGTTGAACTAGATGATCTTCAAAAGTCCCTTCCAATCCAAACCATTTTGATTTTATCATTCTATGCTAGAAATCAGAATCATAGAATCATTTAGTTTGGAAAAGACCCTTAAATCATTGAGTGCAATTGCTAATCTAGCACTACTAAGTCCATCTCTAAACCAAGTTCCCAAGCACCACATCTACATGTCTTTTAAATACCTCCAAGGATGGCTATAAAATGGTGGTCCCACCAAGATTCAAAGTGGACTTACAGTTCAAATTGAACTTACAAACATCAGCACACTGAACAGACCTACAGGTAATGTTGAAACATCTGGATTGCTATGCAAGGCAAGCAGAGTCAAATGACATATTACGGCACAGCTACATGTAGTTTCATACATACAGGAAAATAAAGCATATTTTACAAGATGGGGCACACACTGAGGTTCAGTGACTGGCCACGAGTCTATAGAGCAATGCTTTGGCAAAGTGTTGGAAGAGACATTAAGAGGCAAAGGGAAACTGATTCTAGTTACATACGGCACTCTTTATGCTGTCAGAAACACACGGCTAGAAGGGAGACTGGGTCATCAAGCCCAATTTTTGCCAAATTTGGCAAAAAGGGCTTAATTTGAGCAGTGCTTTTCTGTTGAATTACTGGAGAGTGTGTAAAGAAGAGCTGCAAGCAGGGAGTTTGGGAAGAGATTCATTACTCAAACACCTCGATCTTCTTAACACGTTGAGGACAAAACACAACACAACTGAACACAATGAATTGTTGTAATTACCCAGCCAGGCAGAAGATTCCAGGAACTGATATATTAAGTCAGTAATACTGCCCTCTACAGAGAACTATTCGCCCAGAGCGACTGTGCTGGATTAGACTGCCTGGCTAAATCTGTCAGACATGCATCTCATCCAGAGCAGGCTGTATCTCCCAAGTGACCCCTCTTTCATCTGACACTGCTACTAAACTTCTAAGAATAACAGGGGGGTGAAGTATCAGAAAGAAATTATTTTTCCAACTCAGCTTTTGTAGATGTTGAGTTTTGGGGGGTTATATGGCTAATTTGATCACTAAATCTCCTCACATTTCAGGAGGCCACTGCCACGCATCCAATTTTGCAGGTAAGAAGATAGAAGGACAGAGCAATGGTATCATTCATGATCATTCAGCATCTAGGAAAGGCAAATCTAGGAACAAAATAGGGTGTCCCAGTCCCATTCTGGTCCTTTGCCCACTCTGCAGTGCTACAAGTATTATATCATAAACTGACACAAGAAATTAAGCACAGAACAAAGAAACCCATGACATCAAGCTCTGTCACACTATCTTCTGAGTGCAGGTCTGACTTCTAGGTACACTCTCCTGCCTGTAGACACTACATTCAGGCCTTTTACTTATCTCCACATTCAAATTATCACATAAAGTATTGAATGTTCTGTGATAAATCATCAGCTGGACAGAAATGTATTTTAATAGATAAATTTAGGATCCCTTTTCCAAATCCCTTACATTTGAATAAATGGTGTCATGTTAATGCTGACATATTTGTCCCGTAAGGTTCTCTCCTGTTGACACACAATAGCACATCTCTGCAAATCATTTTGAAATTAGGCAACGGCCTAGAGCAGACGGTCAGAACATGAGAGTCCTTGAGTCCTATGGGTCCTATGTATCTTCCAACCCTGTTTTGTTACCTATTCCACCCAAAAGTGATAAACCAGGTCACCATTGCCCAGTGTATGTTTTGTTGCCCAAGAACTGTGAAGTGTCAGATTGAAGAGAAGGCCCAGGTTTAGAGGGCTCCTCTGCTCTGCCTTTCCTGAGAATAAGTGGAGTTACAAACAACACAGGTGAGGATCCTGAAAATATCTGCCCTTTGTGACACAAAGCCAAGGGCGTAAGAGTTTCCAATATTTTATTTGTGCTCCTTAGCAGATATCTACTGAGTGCATGCTGTTTGTCTGCACTCTTTGTCTGAGCACTACTCCTAATCTAATTGAAAGAGATGTCTGAATAGGATTGAAAAGTCCTGTGTTGCACAGAATTGACGTGGTCCTCATGTATGACTTCATGGTCACAGCTGAACCATCATCTCTTCCAAACACAGCATGAAATGAAACTAAAGCATTTTTTCACTTTTCTGCCTGGAAGTCACCTGACTCTTCATGCAAAGCAGAGGTTTCACACCCTTCTGTTCATACAACACCTTAAACCAAATACCCAATGATGGCCTTGCAAAGTCATGTCAAATTTCATCATGACCACTGATTACAGCTTTTTCCCTTTCATTTTTTGTTTTATGCATACTCCTCAGGGTGCTGGCAGAGTGGTTAGTAAGCAACTGCCCATGCTAGTTCAGCAGAACCCCACCAGACGTTTATTTCTCTAAAATTTAGTGACTTCCTCTATTACCACTGCCCAAAGGAAGCAGCTCATGGTTGGAAAACCCTCTCTGAGTTGTTCTGACTTTATATCACACTTCACCTCTTAGTCTCCCTTTCTCATAAAGCAACAAACTCCTTTGGTTCCTCCTTCACAGTGCTGGGGAGGAGGGGTGAAGGGCAGGTGTTGGCACACAAGGATGTTAAGCAATGAAAACCTTGCCTACACCTTGTACCAGTGCTATGTAATTACTAAGCATTGTTATTCATGTTACTACTTTCTGCAAAGCCTTGATAATCAAGCTTCATGACTAGGGGGGACTAAGGGGACTTACAAGAAAGCCAGCAAGGGACTTTTTGCAAGAGCATGTAGTCATAGGACAAGGGGAAATGCCTTCAAAGTGACAGAGGGAAGGTTTATACTAGGTATTAGGATGAAATTCTTTACTGTGAGGGTGGTGAGATGCTGTAACATGTGGCCCAGAGAAGTTGTGGATTCCCCGTCCCTGGAAATGTTCGAGACCAGGTTAGATGGGTCTCTGAACAATGCGGTCAAGTGTAAGGTTCCCTGCCCATGGCAGAAGGGTTGGAACTAGGTGATCTTTAAGATCCCTTCCAACCCAAACCATTTTATTATTCTATGACTTTGCAACTGACCCTTGTAAACACATTGTAATACTGTCATTTTCCCATTTTTCCTACCGCAAAAAGAAAAAAACAAATGAACAAAAAAACTCCCCCCACAAAACCCCCCCAAAACAACAAAAACAACCCCCCCCACCACTACCAACAACCAAACTAAAACTAAAAATGAAAAAAAAGCAACCCACCACTCTCCTACAAATAATTATATGTTCCATCAGTGCTACACATCATGAAGAATGTAGTTATCTATTCCTTGTGACCACTTGATTTCTGTGATTTAAAGGATGTTTCCAATGATCAGTAGGGATAATGTTGGCAGAAAACA